GATAAACAGCTCATGGTATATTCATGCCATGGAATACTATACAGCAATGAAAACGAACACAGCACACTAGCGCTACACTCAGTAAGGCTGAATCTCATAAACACAGTGTTGAGCAAAAGAAGCCAGACAAAAAAGTACATAAATAACTTCCCAAACAGGCGAAATAAAACCACGGTGCTACAGTCAGGATGCTGGCCACCCCTGGGGAGAAGGGAGTGGGAAGATGATTGGCTGGAGGTAGGAGGGGAGCTTCTGGGTGCTGGGAGTGTGCTGCTTCCTGACATAGGCATTTATTTGTGTTTAAATCATTAAGTTGCATGTATGTTTTATACATGTTTCTATATGTATATATGTCAGTCTTCAATTAAAAAGTTAAAACAAGTAATCCAGCTCCTTCCAAAGGGATTTGAGTGGTGAAGGAGAACCCGGACAGATGGCAGAAGAGTTGAGGGGTGTGGGAGTGAGTCAGGGAAGGGGTGTGGGATTCCCACTGCCTCCCTTTCCCACCGGCCACTCAGGCACACTCTGAGCCGGATGTGCTGCCTCCCCGGGGGGCCCCTTGCCAAGGCCCAGAGGGGGAGGTGGGGGCAGAGGTCTCTGAGAAGTGAAGTGTCCTTCAGAGACTCACATCTGCCATTTCCCAGGCCCTGCCCTGGCCCAGCCTTGCCCTCAGCACCCTGGAGACAGGAAGTGTGGTGACCCTGGGGCAGAAGCTGCCAGTGTGGCCTCCTGGGAGAATGTGGAAGGAACGGGGGAGGGGCAAGAGTGGGGCTGGGACAGGCCAGTGGAAGGGACACAACCTCAGTGAGAATATCTGGAACTGACAAGTAGCTCTGGGGTGAAGGACATTCCCTCCCTGAAGGCTGAGAGAGGAGCTTCTAGAACAGGGTCATAAGGCCACGATGGGGCCTTGCTGAGCAGAGCCCTGGTGTGGCCCAGGGCAACACATCTGGGGTATGGAGAGAGGGGCCAGGCCACCGCATTCCCTCTGCCCTGCTTCTCAGACCTCAGCCTCTCTCACTGAACAAGCTGAGTTCTCCCCCTCTCTCTGGACAAAGTCTATTCTCGAAGCTCACAGAGAAGCCCTCTGTTCCTCCATTCAATGCCGCCAGGCAAGTTCGGCCCCCGTAGGAGCAGCCGAGTGCTGTCACCATCCACACCCCTGCCCGCAGGCTCTGCACCCGAGACCTCAGTAGTGCCAGTCAGCGCTTGCCCACCATTTGCCTAGCACTGTGCCACATGCCTCACACGTTCAATGTCATGTGTTCCTATAATAGTCTGGAGAGGTGGAGATGATAATTATCCTCATTTTATCAAATTGGAGACTGAGGTTCAGAGAGGTTAGGAGACTTGCCCAGGTTCACACGGTCACTAGGAACCCAGGGGTCTGCCTGTTCACTGTTCCCCAGTAGGACGAGGCCAGCCCCAGCCCACCCCATGCCTATCCCAGGGCCCGTGGGTGGACCAGACCAAGGGGGCTGGTGGTGCCAATGCCTGGGTGGAGAAAGGTCCTCTCAGTGAGCTTCAGAGGTCTGGGGAGTGAGTTTGGCCTGTTAGCATGTTAGAAGGTGGTAAGTCTGTGCGAGAAAATGTAGACAGAGAAAGAGGCTCTGGGTGGTGGTGAGCAGAGGCAGGCGGCAGTTGTGAGAGGTGGTCGGAAAAATCCTCAATCAAAGGTCAGGGCTGAATGAGGAGGAAGGAGGAGAGGAAGGGCCCAGGGGGTAGCTGGGGAGTCCTGGGCCCTGGACAGGGGGTTGTGCAGGGCCTCATGGTCACTGAACAGACTTGGGCTTTTGGTCTGAGTGTCAGCACCGGCCATTGCAGGGTCTGACTGACACGTTAGCCGGGTCACCCTGGGTACTGTGTCAGGCGCAGAGCATTGGAGGGAGGAAGGCAACTAGGGACACCTGTTAGCTGACTTCTATCCTAACACCAGGGTCCAGCCTCCAGGCTCTGGGTCAGTCCCATGGCTCAGGGGCTGGGGCTTCGCTCAGAGACCTTAGCTGTCCCCTCCTGCTGAGAAGGGCACAGTCGCTTGGTTCACCAGTCCTGTCACCGACATTATTTGTGTAATACTTACAACTACATGATCTGGAAACACACAACACTTTTAATTAAAGAATTTAAATAAGGGCAATTAAACCTGGTAGGAGAGAAGCCGCAGCACACAGAGAGCTTAATTGGAATGAAAACCAAATTAAATATGGAAACAGCGGTTAAAAAAAAATCACAAGTTGAATGTATAGAATTCTGAAGGCTGATAATAACTTCTAGAGCCAGTTCCCGGCCCCCAGCCGAGTTCCTTCCCCTCCGGGCTGCTCTGGCGCAGCGACTGGGAAGGGCCTAAGCGGAAGCCGAGAGCACGGGACTCTGCGCCCGGCCTTGGCCACATGAGCCTGGGCCCGTGGCTGAGCCACTCTGGGCTTCAGTCCTCTCGCTTGCAAAAGGAGACAGCACTCTGGGGCACTCAGCTGCTGTCTCAGCATAGAGGACTATGTGCACACTGGGGCATGTGGATGCCACAGTCTGTGAGCCTTTGGGGCACCAAAGAGCAGATCCCAGATTATTATATAGCCAAGCACTCAGCTTCCCCAAGTGTGTCTCTGTGGCGCTAGACATGGAAGAGCTAGCACCAATGAACTGGGCCTGTTCCTCCTGGGGATGTAGGCTGGGTAAGAGTTAGAGTCACCCAGGGGGCGGGTGTTAAATTATAGATCACAGCCCTCCTCTTCTGATTTAGCAGGTCTGGGAGGAGGCCTGAAAATGTGCCTTTTTCTTCTTTAATTTCATATTATTATGTGGGTACAAATGTTTTGGCTATATGAATTGCTTTTGTATAGTTTGAGTCAAAGTTGTCAGTGTGCCCATCACCAGATAGTGTGCATTGTACCCATTAGGTGTGATTTTACCCCTCCTCTTCTCCCCTTCCCAACTGCTTGATTTCCATTGAGTTTTACTTCCATGATGTGCACATGAGTGTTGACTGATTAGTTCTAATTTAATAGTAAGTACATGTGATGTTTGTTTTTCCATTCTTGTGATACTTCACTTCAGAGAATGGTCTCCAGTTCCATTCAGGTTGTTACAGAAGCTAATAGTTCACTGCTTTTTGAATGGCTGAGTAGTACTCCATGGTATACATATACTACATTTTATTAGTCCAATCATGTATTGATGGGCGGTTGGGTTGATTCCACATCTTTGCAATTATGCTGCAATAAACATTCTAGTGTAAATGTCTTTTTAATAAAATGGTTTATTTTCCTTTGGGTAAATACCCAATAGTAGGATTGCTAGGTCAAATGGTAGATCAACTTTTCATTCTTTGAGGTATCTCCATACTACTTTTCATAGAGATTGTACTAGCTTGAAGTTCTACCAACAGTATATAAGTGTTCCTTTCTCATCACATCCATGCCAGCACCTATTGTTTTGGGACTTTTTGATAAAAGCCATTCTCACTGTCCTTAGGTGATATCTCATTGTTGTTTCATTTGCATTTCCCCATGATTAGTGACGAGCGTTTTTTCATACGTTTATTGGCCATTAGTCTATCTTCTTTTCAAAAGCTTCTGTTCATGCCTTTGCCCACCTTTTTATGGGGTTGTTTGACTTTTTCTTGCTGATTGGCTTGAGTTCTTTGTAGATTCTGGTTATTAGCCCTCATTAGATGTATAGCATGCAAATATTTTCTCCCATTCTGTAGGTTGTCTATTCACTTTAGTGATTGTTTCCTTGGCTGTGCAGAAGCCTTTTAAAATTCCCAGGTGGTGCTGGTCTGGAACCACACTTTGAGGACCACAGAGAAGCCATGCTCTCTTCTAGGGAATGGTTGGGCCCAGCTGCTTGCTTTTTCCCTGAGCTAGAGCACCCAGAATATCTGGGTTAAGCCCAGACTGGTCCCACTTTTGCAATCAAGGTGTTCGCGAAGAGATTGTGTGTGCTGACTCCTGTATTGCAAAGACTTCTCTGCTTATTTCAGAGCTCCCATTCCACTTTCTTTTCTAATTAATTTTCCACGGGCAAGCAGCCCGGTGGGTCTTTGGCTTTAAGCACAGTGAGCTCAGGAGTTTCCAGGTTAAGTAGTTAATGATCAGTAATCAAATACTTCAAAGCATGGGTGGGACATCAGGGCTAGTTAATGAAATCCTGAGATTAAGTCTCTTTTGTAGAAGAAAGTGGTATTTCTGTATTATAAATATTCAACATTTGATTTATTCAATAAGTGATTTGGTATTTTTAAAAAGTATTTTGGTATTTCTTTCTTAATCTCACCTGTGCCTGAGGGAGATTCTGCCTGGGACTTGCTGTGATGGTCTCTTGGACTGAACATGGGGTAATTGCAACATCAAGTACAAAAGGATAGGTGGCGGGGGACATGGGGACAGCAGGTGGCCGGGGGCAGCTTGCCTAGGAGGCAGGGACCCTGCGAGTTCACACACACCAGGCACTGGCTCGGCAGGGCAGCCCCGGCCCCAGACTCCCGTGGCTGCGGCTACCGCTTCTCCAGAGGCGAGATGAGGCACCATGGCATGGGCCCCAGGCACAGAATTCCTAGACTCAGCTTTAGAAAAAAAACTACTTAATCTCTCTATGCCTCAGTTTCCTCATCTGTAAAACTGGGGATAATTATAGAAAGTACCTTATAACATTGTCATGGGGATTCAGGAATATTTATAAACAGTTAGAATAGTCCCTGGCGCTTAGTAAATACCGTATAGATATTTGCTAAATACATTTTAAAGTCTCACGCAGGTAGTGGGGAGCTGAGCCATCGTGCCTGGCCCTGGCCCTGTTGTCTGTGCGATGACGGGGAGGAGGGAAGTGCTGGCTGTCACAGGCTAAAAATAACTAAGAACACATTCAGGGCCTAAACAAAGCTTTGTCAGTCCCTCAAAACTGGACAATTCCACACTTGCCCCTTCATATGACATGGAAATGAAAGGCTGACTTATTCTGGAGCCATAATGAAATACCCGATTATAGCCTTTTCTTTCCAGCACAAAAGGTTCTCGAAGTTGGACTTGCTGACAGCGCTCGGGGATTGGAGCGGGAGAAAGTCACGGATTCCTCCTCCTCCCGTGTGGAGAAATTCTTTGGCAGAATTAGCGGTGCTCCCTGGGAAATTCGCTCTGCAAATAGGTTCGTTTTTGAGTGGGTTACTCATCTTGCATCAAATTATCAAATTAGACCCCACAAATCACAGCCAACTCTCCCTTGACAGACAGCCTTGGCGCTGGGCTCAGCTCTCTTCCGGGCAGTCTCCCTGTAGTCCTGAAAATCTCTTCTTTCCTGGCATTCACCGACATCTCTGTTGCTATCCTCCATGTTTTCCTTTTGGAAAATGCATAAATGCCACTCTGAGAACGGAGCACGCACAGGGGGCTGCCCTGCGTGACCTTGGACTCCCGGCTGGGCCTGGCCAGAGCTTCCCCCACAGAACCCAAAGTCTGAGGAGGCACGAAATAAATACCCTGACATTTCATCACATGCTCCCGTCTTTAAAAAATACTTATACAAATTTGTACTCCATGCCATACAATATGCACATCTGTTTTAGTATAAAATATTTCCACCTCCTTCCTCCAAACCCGAAGTTATAGGAAGAAGTGCACGTTTATCCTGTAACTTTGAGTAGCCCACTTCATGCATGTCTGTGCATCTCAGCTGGGAGCCACTCCCACCTAAAAGTGTTCATTGTAGGATCCAAGGATTTTCCAACTAAGCAGGGCTTTTTGACTATTACCTAGAAATGTCCTTGAAAAATACTGTAGTACTATTTTTTTTTTTTTTTGCAGTGAGCATGCGTGCATCTGAGGATAGTCCTTAAGGGTAGGACTTTGTTCATCTTTGGATCTCCCACAAACCTAGCACAAGACCTAGCACACAGGAGGCCTTTGGTTAAGATTTGTGAATTTTGTTTTATAAAGACCCCTTCACTGGATCAACGGCATGCCGGGGGCCTCCTCTGTCTCAGGCTTTCCTTTGGGTGCTGGAGACAGTGAAAGCGGGAGACGCAGTCCTGTCCTCTGGTCTGCTGGCTATGAACAGAGGGCCATAGGGGGAAACAATGGGTGAAGGATTCTGTCAAGTGTCATCAAGACCCTTGTACAAGGAGTTTGGCTCATTCTCTAATTTGTGGAGCTTTGTATTCAGGCTGGCCCAGAGGGGTTGCAGTCTAACTTCAGGAGCTTAGAATTACAGAATTTCAGAGCTAGTAAGCCCTTAATGTCACCCAGCCCAGCTCCATTTGGAGCTGTAGAGCCTCTGACGACCTGCTCGTGGCCCTCTGAACTCACCCGATCCCCAAGCCACCAGCCTCATGGCTGTGAGAAAGCAGCTCTGTAAACTCGCCTGGATTTCCCCCACTGGTCCTCCCTCAGGGCTACACAGGGCAAGCCTGCTCACCCCTGTGCAAGGCAGCCCTTCAGGTATCTGCAGGTAGCGCTCAGACCTTCCTGGGGACTTTCTGGTCTTAAACAGTCCCTATTCCATCAGCTGTGCATTCAAACAGATAGATGGACTTTAAGGAAGTTGAAGCTTAGGGGACATACATCATAACAACAGCCTTCCTGCGGCAAGAATCCCTTCAATGACATCTTTGGGAAGAGGACTCTAGCATGTGCTTAGCCACTGAAAGTAACAGTGGTGGTTGGGGGATGGGGTCTCGTTACTCCCGAGAGGCAGCCCACTGCTTTGCTTGACATATGTCCTGCCACCAGGGCCTTCCCCGTAGTGATCTGGTGTCTGCCTCCTCCCTCTCCTTCCACTGGTCCAGGGATCACTGACCAAATGCCGCCTTCCCTAACCCTGCACCACCGAATCCCAGAATCCCCCAAATCTCAGTATGAAGGGTCCTCTCAAAAGATTGAAAGACATATACTTAACAGTATGAATTTATAATCACAGCACAGTCAGTTGGGGAAATTCTTTAACCCCGGGGAAATCACAGGCTGGAAAAATCACTTAAATGCAACATCCACCACCGCTACTATCAACAGCGTTCCACCACGTGCTGATGTGGGAGCGCCTGGCTGTCATGTTGCGTCCTCGTGGGAGACAGCGCTGGCTGCTCAACACCTGTTCTCCAAACACAGAGCTGGGAGTGGTCCCGGATTAACAGCCCTCCCCCAGCTACCATCATTTCATCCATCGCTACATGCAACAGACTGCTGAAATGTCTCTCAAAGTCCTCCTCCACTGCTGCCTGTCCCACGCCCCTTTCCTTTCCATCCACCCTGCACTCTGTGGACTAGCCAGGGTAATTTTTCAGACCTCTCTGTGGAAATCTGCTTAAGAACCTGCCCTGGTCCCTCCCTTTGCTTTTAAGGTGGAGTCCGAACATCTTGGCCTGCCCTTCGACAACCACCATCATGCCCCACCCAACTGGGTCTCACCTCCCTCGTGCCCCATTGCAAACTCCGCATTCTACCCACACTGAACAAGGGATTCGTATTCTTAACATATGCTCGGCTGTTTCATGCTTTAGCCCAGGCAGAGTCTCTGCTTGGGATGTTTTTCTTCCTTTCTATGCCTGGAAACTGTTTCTGTAACTTTTTAAGTTCTAGATCAAATAAGCCTCCTACTTGAAGCACTCCCTGAGTCCTGCAGACAGAGCCGGTCATGCCGGGCTCTCAGAACGCTGCACACCACTCTGTTTCTGCTCTCATCATCCAGTTGTGCTGTGTGTTTACATGCCCACGAGCTCCTTGAGGGCAGAGGCTGAGTCTGATTCATATCTGCACCCCTCCAGCCGAACCCCTGTGCTCAATAAATGTTTGATGAACGACTGAAAGAAAGAATGTTCATCATTGGAAAATTGCTCATCAGAGCCCCACGCATCAGCGTTGCCAAGAGATGTTTTCATCAAATGTGGTTTCTCCGTGTCAGTATCTAACGCTGCCCTGGTTCAGCCTGAAGCATTGAAAATTCAGAAGAGCTTGTGAGGGTTAGAGGAAATTCATTTTATTTGTTAAACAGAAAATCAGGCTATGAGATAGAACACTAAGATATGCAAATGTCTATCTTCTTTGTAGGAGAACCTGGGAGAATCATGCTAGATTATTTTGAAATTAATTCAGCCTGAGTGTCTGTGGAGCTTAAACGTGGTCCTCAGGAGAGTAAATAATGCATAATGTGTTTGAAACCAGAAAGGAGATTTGAAATGTATCTGGTAAAAGCTCCTTTCAGCCCAACTTCTGCACGAGAACATTCTAGTTGGTAGGATCCCCATGTAATTTGCAAAGATTAAAACCTGCTGCAAGAAAATTAGCCCAAGCACAAGACTTTAATCATTTAAGAGGCTCCTGGTTTCTTTGAGCCTTGTCAATAGCGACTCCTCACCAATGAGGGCTTACGGATGGATTCCAGGTCACTTGATAAATATTGATCATTTTGCATTAAGCAAAAATTTCACATATGTTAATTTTTAAATATTGAGTGAGAGTGGCTGCTCTGGGTCTGCAAATTAGGAATTTAAAAATAATATTCCCAAATGGTTCCCTCTTGCAAAAGGATCAAAGATGTGGCTGCCAACTCTGGGGGTTTAAATTAGACATATGCTAAAGTGGTTGAAAACTGCCCAGCGCTCTGAGCCTCACAGGCCAATGCTGCCCATTCAAGCAGAAGTTGCTAAGCCCATTCAAGCAGAAGTTGCACGGGGCTACCTTTTCAAGGCTATGGCCTGAGGTAAGGGAAGGAGGGAGCTGGATCTGGGGTGTCTTTTCCTGGAGGACTCCCATTTTCCAGGAATATATCCTTCTCTGCCATAGTCAGGGATGGGCAGAAGAGATGGGGTGGGAGGGAGCGGGGAGGACCAGCCATAGCTCCGAGATGTCTGGATCTGCATGGGAGATGGGGCTGAGCCTCTCCAGCTGAGACGCACCTCGGGGGCGGGCGGTGTAGAAAGGAGGCAGAAGTGGGGGGGTGCGGGGGTGGGGGGTTGCTGGTCTGGGATGTCAAAGCAGCCTGGGCTTTGGATTTAGCTAGCTCCACCCCTCTCAGGCCACATGACCTTGGCAGGTGACTTTCTCTCATTTCTCATCTAAGAGGTGGGATTGCTGTGCTTATTCACATGGAACTGCAGGAGGCTGGACAAGGAGAGGCCGAGGCTCACAGACAGAGGGCTCTCGAGGGGACGGGGCGCTTACTTCCCTCAGGAATACTCACTCACATCTGGGTGATGCCAAGTCCCCAGAGCCGCAGGCACCTGGCTGGGCTGTGGCCTTCAGGGGCTATTCCAGGACTGCCCACAGGGCACTGCCCATCCTCCTCTTCCTCCCAGTGAGCTGAAGCAGCCCTCTTGCTGAAGCGAGCCTACTCTGCGCCTAGCTCGACCCAGGGACAACAGCCACTCCTCCCGAGGCACAGAGGCACACACTCCAGGACCCCTGGCCTTGCCTGTCAGCACGCCCAGCACGTACCACCAAACGCTGAGCTCCTCGGGTCAGTCTCAGACCCTGTGCTGAGACATCTTGGTGGCTGGGGCAGGGCCCTGACAGCCCCAGGGTCGTGGAGGAGGTTGAGGAGGGAACTTTCAAACTGGATTTCAGCCTCCTGCTAACTCTTCATCCTGTCTCTTTCCCTTCCTAGAATCTCCCCTTCAATGCAGTATCACAATCCCTGCGAGGGGGCAGACCTAAACTCGCCCTGGGGGCACACAGCCTCACCTCCCACAGAGCCAAATCTGCCATGGTCTGTGGCCCCTCCAGGCTCTTCTCTGGCTGCCCTGGCTGTGCCTCCAGGACCCAGCCCCATCTGGCTATTGGCAGGTCCCTGGGTTTTGATGTCACAACTTTCACACATGCTGTTCCCTCTCTTTGGAATGCCTTTCACTCCTTCTAAATGGAACAGGCTCCTGCACATTCTTAACATTCCAAGGTAAGTACCTTGTCTTTTGAAAAGCCACCAGCCCTGCCCTACACCACCTCCATCCCCCCACCACCCATTTCCTGCAATGTCCCATTCACAGACCCCAAGGGGAAGCTGAACGAGGGCCCAGCAAACCCTGTAGACAATATCAGGTGTGAACTCCACTCTGTCCTGGCAAAGTGATCCCCGCTCACCTCCCCTGGGCCCAGTGTGTCCACCCATCTCCCAGCTGCGTCCAGCCTGCAAGCCTACTCTGCTCCCAGCCTGACCAGGAAGAACAGCCACTCCTCTCCAGGCACACGCCCAGCTGCCTCCCTGACCACACACCTCCAGGCCTCCCTCTGCCTCTTGAAGGAAGAAAGGGAGGAAAGGCAGCCCCGTCCTGTGCCGGCATATGAATCCCTGGCACATGGTAGGTGGGCACTCAGCAAATCTCTGAGAATCAGCCTGGAGGTGCGGCCTCACTACTGCTGAAGTGTCCCCCGCCTCCCCTCCAGCCCCTCCCGGGTCTCTGCACCACTCTCCCAGTTTTTGGCCATGGCCACACTCTGTCACCTGAGAGAACTGCCAGTGAAGCTTCATCCTCTTGGCTTTGGCATAACTGCACTCGATGAGCCGTGGCCGGCTGTTGACGTCCACCAGGCACCGGTTGTCATCGTCATCGATCGTGGGGCTCAGGATGCCCACGTGGATCTGCTGGCTGCTCGTGTAGTACACGTTCTGCAGGTGGAGGGAGGAGGAAGAGTGAGGGTCAATGCCAAATGGCCAGAAAGACAAGAGGGAAGGTGGTGATTCTCACTGGACAGCCGGCAAAGAGGTCACAGCTGGGGAAGACCCTGGGTTGTCTGGTGGCAGGGGACATATAGTGGACCCTATATGTCTGGTGGCCTTCAGATTATTTTCCATTGCAATGGACAAGAAGAAATCCTTTTAGACTATGATCCAGTACAGTATCTATTCCACATGTATAGCTAAAGCAAAATTTTCAAGAAAATAAAACTTACTCTTACTATACGTAATGCACTCTGATAATTTCTATTCTATTCTTTCATTGAAAAGCATTGGTCAGAACCTTTTAAATTTATTTCACCACCCACAGTATAAAAAACACCTCTTGAATCCATTATTTACAGACTTACTGACTTCCTTCCCTCATAAATATTTCGTGCCATATCCTGTGCTTTGTCAATAGGTGTAGAGCAAAATGCCTGGGCATGCGGCAGGCTGGGAATGTGTAGCACGTTTTCTGTCCACGCTGAGGTGTGCGGAGCAGGGGCTGGCTCACTTTTTTTTAAACAGCCAGATGGCAAATATGTTTGGCTCTGTGGGTGTATTGGGGAGTCCCCAAGACCACCCCCAGCTCCTGTGATTCTCTGCAAGGACTCACAGGACTCAGCCTATAGCTATACACACCGCTGTGATTTATTACAGGGAAAGGATACAGGGCAAATCAGCAAAGGGAAAAGGCATTGGGCAAGGTCTGGAGAAACCAGGCACAAGCCCCATGGGTCCTCTCCCAGTGGAATAACACAGGATTTGCTGAATTTCCCCGAGTTGTGACAACACATACGTAATGCTGTCTACCAGGGAAGCATGTGAGAGATTCAGCACCCAGGGTGTTTACTGGGAGCTTGTCACAGAGGCAGCCTCTGCCTGGCATATACCAGAATCCCACACTTCCGGAAGGCAAGCAGTCGTTAAGCATAAACCGTACTGTTAAGTACAAGCCATATTCCTGAACTGACTGAGATGCCTGAACAATCACCTAGGCACAGTGAGCCACTCCTGCCAGTTCTGGTGGGAGTCCTCCTGCACTCCAAGCTCCCAGACGCCAGCCGGGGGCCAGCCTGGCGAGCAACCTTCAGAGGACAGCAGTGAGCCCTGCTTGGTGACCTCCTTTGGCACAGAGGACCACGCAGTCTCTGAAGGCTCAACTCTGTGTGGAAGTGCAAGCACACCCACAGAAACACATACACGGATGGCTGTGCTCCTCTGACAACTCATTTACAAGGACAGGGCTGTCCCTTGGGCGGTGGTTTGGGCCTGGTCCAGAGGAAAGCTGCAAGACCCTTGGCCTTCAAAGTTTTTGGCAACTTCTCTCAATCTTGAGCAGTGGTTCCCAGCCAGCTTCCCAACCGAGTGGGAAGTCACAGGGCTCTGCGAGCTCTTTTCCTGGAGTACTAAAGGAACTCACCCTGTGTTTTCCCATCCCACATGATCAGGCCCCCTGGGGAAACCAAAATCCCACGTTTCTCAACTTTAGGTT